GTAGGAATTGCTAGTAATCGCAAATCAGCCATGTTGCGGTGAATACGTTCTCGAGTCTTGTACACACCGCCCGTCAAGTCACGAAAGTCGGTAATGCCTGAAACCAGTTCCCGCAAGGGAAACCTCCGCAAGGAGGAGAAGACTGACAAGGGTAGGATTGGCGATTGGGGCTAAGTCGTAACAAGGTATCCGTAGGGGAATCTGCGGATGGAAAATAAATATTTTATAAAAAGGTTCTGTCTAGTTTTGAAAGTTAGATTCTTTTAACTCCTTATAATTTATACTATATGGAGTGCGGGTCTATAGCTCATTTGGTAGAGCGTCTGTCTTGCACACAGAAGGTGGTCGGTTCGAAACCGACTGGATCCACCAAATTACATTTTAAATAATGACATGGCAGAAATCGCAAAAAAAAAAAAAAAAAAAAACAATAATTTACTGGACATTAGTTTTTTTACTAATCATTGCTTCAATAATAGGAGTAGTTTATTATGTTTCCCGAAAAGGTGATAAAGAGCGTTCAGAAAACAAAGAAAAGGAACAATTACAAACTCAATTAAGTTTTATTAAAAGAAAGGTTGATAGCCTCTCCGATAATACCAAGAAAAGTCAATTACACCGCCAATTATCTAATCTGGAAAATCGGATAAACCGCCTTTCCGAAAAAAATATTAAACCACTACAACAGGAAATTGAAGCAATTAAACAGGAATTAAAGGGAGAAGATAAACCAAAACCTAAAATCCCAGATAAGCCCGACGATTTCCCGCCTCCACCCAGTAAAAACCCGCCATCTGATAAGCCAACTCCCAAACCTAACGATAATTCAGAAAAGAAAAAATTAGCCAATTTAATTAAGGCTGATTTGCAAGATGCTTTAACTAATGATAGCCGATGAAAGAGGGAGGGGATGGAGTTTTTTTTTCTAAATAATGATGAATTAATTCAAGGGGAATGCCTTTGGTATCATATCAAAAAAATATGTCTTCGGCCATGATTTCAGGAGTGTAATATTTTTCTAATTCTTGGTTAGTTCTAACAATAAATTTCTGGTTTTTCTCGATTTCTTTCTTTAACTCACTAATTATTAAAACCTCTTTTTCTTTTAAATGCTGATAATAGGAAGCATTAACTTCAATTAATTTTTCACTGATTTTTTGTAAATGCTCGCTATTTAAATGGAGCAAATGGCTCAACAAGGTGGCTTTTTTGACCAGTTTTCTAAGAATGTAGCCTCGCCCTTTGGGTTCAAACGTTGCTCCATCTGCTAGGGCAAAAATGGTAGTTCGCAAGTGGTCAGCAATTATATAATAATTTCCTTTTGGTTCATTAATATAAGTCATTTTTTAACTTATTTTACTTTTTTTTTCTATCAAATGCAATTTTTATGGGAGGCTTTTCGCCTTTCGCAATTGCCTAACAACTTACTCAATATTAATTTAGTAAGTCCTTATTCTCTTTAAAACTTATATAACTTTATTATTAGTGTTTTTAACTTTCTAGTCAACTTTAATATAATTACTATTCTTATATTTTAAATGGCGGAGTGGGAGAGATTCGAACTCTCGAGTTGAAACCAACTACTTCTTTAGCAGGGAAGCGCCTTCAACCGCTCGGCCACCACTCCTAATATTTAATTTTAACTTATTTTTTGTAAAGATTAATTTCTATTTGTTGAAATTGCTACTGCTTTTTTCTTTTATTTAAATATTTTTTTTGATATTTAATTTCTTTCTGAGAAGTCTGCCTTTTTACTTTTATTTTGAGATTACTTTTATGAACACCTTTAAATTTTTACTTGCTTCGATGAACTCAGTGCTTCACTCTCGCTTTTTTTCCTGCCCAGAAAATTACTCTTGCCCCAATAATACTTAATACAACTATTAAAACTAACTCCGATTTTTTTTTTTTTTTTTTTGCACATTTTTTTAAACAGTTAAAAAGAAAAAGATGAAAATTAAACTCTATTTCCTTCTACTATTTTATTGTCTTTCTTGGACTCAACAATTGCATCGGCCACCAAATTGGCAAAAAAAGAGACCGATTTGGTATTTTCATCATTACCTGGAATAACATAGTCAACTGAATTTGGATTACAATTAGTATTACAAACCGCAATTACTGGTATTCCAACTTTTTTGGCTTCCTTAAAAGCGGTTTTTTCTTTATTCAAACCAATAATAAATAAGGCATCGGGTTTTTGATATAGATTAGTTACTCCTTCATAAATACTTTGCAATTTATTTCTTCTTTTTTCTAAACTAACTTGTTCTTTTTTTGCTAAGTTTTTGAAGTTGCTTTTTGCCAAAAAATTATTCAGATTAAGAAGTTCTCTCACTTTTTTCTTTATTTCAGAAAAATTAGTTAAAAACCCCCCTTTTCATTTATTAACAATATAAGGCATGCCGCATTTAATAGCAGCTTCTTTCATAATGTCACGAGTCTGCTTTTTAGTGGACAAAAACAAAATAGTCTTTTTTTTTAGTGGCTGGACATAATTACTTAATTCTTGACAACTAATAACAATTTTTTGTAGATCTAGAATATTAAGTTTATTAACCCTTTTGTAAATGTAAGGGAACATTTGTGGATTACGTCACCGAACAGCACCACCAAACTGGACTCCTACTTCTGCTAACTGATTTTTTTCAAGGTTGGTCATATATGAGTATTTTATAAACTATTTGATAAACTTTTTGCGATTCTGCAAAATTAAGTATTTATTTCAATTTCAAAATCTACTAAAAGGTTATTATCATTTTTACCTCTTTCTACTGTAAAATTGTATTCTTTTCCCGCTTCCAGCCAATTTCATCTTTCTTTGTCTACTTTGCCAGGAAAAACGAAAATGACTTCTTCATCATTTAACTTGAGAATTAGATAGTCATCATTATTTTTATCTTTCTTCTCTAATTTTTGCCGAATGGTTTCTTTAATTACTTGGTTATTATTCATTAACTAATTTTAATATTTTTATTTCTCAGTAATTTGTAATTTATCATCCTAAACTTATAATTCCGATTCCTATTAAATTAGTAATAAGTCCAGATTTTAAATTAAATTTAACCTTCTCTTAGTTGAAGAAGAGAATTTTCCAGAGATTTTTCTAATTATTTGGTATCAATTTCTATCTTTTTAGTCTTCTTTATTTTTGCTTCTGGTTTTCGTAAATCAGCAACAATTTTATCCTTTTCGACTAGTTAATTTGTAATTGGACTTTTTTTGTTACTAAATTTTTAAATTATTCTTTTTTCCACCTCGTAATCAATTGACTTTCGACATATTTCCTCTAAGTCTCCTTCAATAACAAATTCGAGTTTGTTTTCTAATTTTATTCCTAGACGCTTGTCGGTTACCCGATTTTTTAAAAAATTATAAGTGCGGAAGTTTTCTGAACGCTCAGAACTGCCAATCATAGAGGAACGCAAATTTCCAACTTCTTTTGCTTGATCGGT